ACTCTTTTTGTGTGTGAACACTTTAGGCGCTTCCCTTCTGTCTTCGATGCAATATAAAACATAAAATGGAGGTCGGTTTGGGTCTTCCTAAAGCACAAAGTTTGGATATAATTGGTGTTGCAATTAAATAATCAGTGAAGGATTTGATATAATTGTTGTTAGGAAAAGTAGGTGGAGCAAGGAGTGGCTAAGTAAGAACCTACCAAGTAAAGCTTAGTAGATAAGACACTGTAGATTTTTTACTACTTTTGTATCCCAATGATTTTTAAAAAATCTTTCCATTATCAATTTTTTAAATGCGGGTTGAAGAATGCATAATAAATTTTTTTATTAATATATTAAAATTTATTGTATTTTATATATTTTTATAAAAATTATTATATATAAACTATTATTACATGCAAAAGAAGTTTTTTTTTTTTAATTAAATTGGGTCAGTATGTTAATCTGCTTAGTGGGTTCCACCTAATGGGGCAGCTGCCAAAGATAGTTAGGAACCGTATATGGAATGACTTTGTGTTTGATCACACTGCTTGTAAATTTCTTATGCACCTTTTGAGAGGGAAATTTCATCCTGATTATAAGAGTATGAGGTTGTTTCTCATTCATTAAATAAAATAACTTGTTAATAGAACTGTACCAAAAATGACAGGGACATTGCCCCATTTGATAACGAAATTGAAAATTTTGTAATATGACTCCATGTTCTCATCACTGCAAAACTAATGAAAAGCTTCCCAATGGCATGGAATCCAATATATAATTAAGCTTTAATTAAAAGTTATTGATAAAGCTGTGAATGCAAAAGAGTGAACGCAACTATACATATAATTTCATGTTATAGACATTGAATTAGTAAATAGAGTTATCCAATCTATATGTAAATAATTATAAATTATATATAAACATGAAAGTGTGCAAATATTCTCAAGATAAAACAAAACAACCGTGTATAGTTTTATGCATATTTTTTAGAAATTATATATAATATAATATTAAAGTGAAAATATATATATTTAAAATTATAAGAAACCTACGTAACTTTGCACCCTAAATTTAGCTAGTATACATAGATACTTGTATAATTATATTAATTAATATGATTTTGTATTGTATTCCTAGAGATAATGTTGTAAAAAAAAATTAAGGTAAATTTTATTTTAATTTATAAAAATGTGTTTAAATGCTCGTGTTAAAAAATCACATTTCATGTATAAGTGAATGAACTTAATTGGAATGTATTAATAGGATAAGTTTTTATAATTAAATTATTAACTTTTAAATTTTTTTAAATTATATATAATACATTTTAATTAATTAATAATATAAAATATTATCTAAATTATGATATTACAACAAAATTCAACATTCCGTCTTTAGAAAATATAAAATATATATGAAAAAAGGGCTGGCCTAAATTTAAACTCTCAATTCAAGTCTGACACAGATTAACTGGGCCTATGAACCAAAATATCTGGGCTTAAATTCTTCACTATTGTTACACTTAACTTTAATTTTAAAATCATGAGAGAAACAAAACTTATTTTCGAAATCTAAGCCCTAAATGTTTGAGTTATATTAAAACGCAAAGCTGTATGTAAGTAAAGAATAATAAAATCTCTAATAACAAGGGCATGTTTGATTTTATTTTGAAAATAGTTTTCTATTTTTAAAAATAAAATACAATATAAATTTATATTATATTTTATTTTAAAAAACAGAAAATTATTTTCAATAGAAATCAAACATACTTTAAATAATTATTTTAAATTATATCACTTCTAACTAAAAAAAGATAAAATATAATAAAAAATTATTAATATTTTTTAAATATTTAATACAATTACATTTGTTAAAACTGAAACTTAAAATTTAAGTTACAATAACTTATGTAAATTTGTGTGTTCGATAATAAAGTAACACAATTATGATTAAAAATTTTGAGTTCTAAGAATATACTATAAAATATAATTTTTTAATACATTTTTATTAATTATTAAAATTTATTAAAAAATATATAAAAGTATGAGTGCTAGTTATTAAATTAGTAGTGAGGTTATTTTTAATATTTAAATAAAATTTAATAAATAATAAGTAACATGTTAAAGGAATATGTTGTTATAACCAAAAAAAAAAAGAATATGTTGTTGATATTTTAATTTTAAAATAAAATAATTATTATTGTAAAATTTTTTATTATGTCAAACATTTAAAATAAATTGTAAAATTTATGTTAATTATAATAAATAATAGTAATATTTGTTATATAGAAGTTCGTAATTAAATGATGATATAAAAAATATTATTAATGTATTTTAATTCACATATTGAATTTTTTCTTTAGTTTATTATAAAAAATTGTAAGACCAAAACTAAGATTTAAGTCATTGTCATATAACAACAATTTATTTAATAAGTATTTATCTGATATTTATCAGATACTCAAAAATTGTATTTTATCAAATATTTTTTTAACTTTCCACTAATTTGTTTACTTAATTTGCAAAAAAAAAAAACACTAATGTGAAAGTTTATACTAATATATTTTTTTTATCAATACTCTTTTTCCTGTATAAAAATATTAAGCATTTACATTAGTTGAGCTATCTAAAAATTAAATAAAGAATAATTTAAAAATATTTACTTGGAAATTTATGAAATTAATATTCTAAACTGATTAAATTAATTGGTTTATTTAATTTTTATTTAGACAAAGGGTATAAATAAAAAATATATTTTAATTACTTTGTTTTTATATTTTTACAAGATAATTTGAAAGACGTATTGTGGTCTTTAATATAATATTTATTACTCTTTTTGTATTTAGTCTTCACAAACACTAGATATTCTTAACAGTTGAAATTAACTTTCTCAAACGAGAGTTTTGTAAATAATTTTTAAAAATATATGAACTAGTTTTAAATTTGTAAACAAGATGGTATGTAGTCGTGAGGAAGAAGCAAGAACCACACGTGTATTGATCAGACGGCGAGGGTAGATTATGTTATAGGATTAGAGGCGATCGGACGGTGGATGAGAACCCACCTGTGGATGAAGTGATTGAGAGGGGCAGATTCTAACGTCACCGACACGTTTGGGTAGGAGATGAGTGAGTGAGTATTTTTAACCTCTTTCGGCTTTAAACAATAACATTCCCCAAACAACCGCACTCTCCTTAACCTTCTCACACGTGTCCTCTTGTTTCCTCCTTCCCGGAGCTCAACCTTGAACTTCGAGCCGCCGCCGCCGCCGCCGTCGATCGTCACTCTCTGCTGCTTCTGTTGTATTGTCCCATTCCTGCAGGCCTCTACACTATAACACTGCTACTCTTTTTTTATTACTCTTTACTTTTTAAATTATCAATACGATATTTTTAACCTTTGCTACATTTCATAACTAACAAAAAAAAAAATAAAAAATAAAATATATATATATATATATATATATAATTTTTTAGACTAATATAATGTAATTAGTACCTTTAATTATTTTAAATTTAATAATTAATAAAATAATAAATTACAACTTATTAATTTAAATTAAAAAAATTTAAATTGAAGACAAGAATTTTTATATTTATTTCGATATAAAAAATTCTGTCTTTTATATATATATATATATATATATATATATAACTTTATATTAGTATAAATTTAAAAAAATTTATATAAATTTTAAATCTTAAAACCATATATATATATATATATTATTTTTTTATTGATTGTTTTACTTTTAAAATGTGATGAAGTTAATAAAATGATAAATTATTGGACAATGAATACATAATAGAGAAGAACCAGTCCATTTATTTTCCTTCAAGGAGCTACAGTGTGTAATACTTTAATACAGTGAGATGCTTTAGTCATTGGCCATTTATAGTTTATACAGTATGTATATTTGTCATACTAAATTCGGTTTTCTCAGTAAAATTCTCCAATAGTTTATGCAATTTGACGTGTTCAACAAATTTTTTTTGTTAAATCAAATACTGCATATATTTTATTAGAAGACCTACACTCTTTGTCAAAGGCTCAAATCTACTTTTTCAAAAAAATAAAAAACTTGATAAAATATATAAAACAAATAAAATAATACGATTTTCTAACACAATAATAAAGATTTTGATTCCTTTATTAAAGTAAAAGATGTGTTTTGACGACAAATTAAAATTTTATAATCATTATTTACAAACTTAAAAGGTTATATATATATATATATATATATATATGTATGTATTTAGATTAATTAATTAATTTTTTAAACATAATTTTAAAAATTTTAAAAACAGTTATGCAGTAATCTCTCCATGATTTCTGATTTAAATGATTATATAAATAAAGTACACTTTAAATTGTGGGAGAAAATAAAAAAAAAATGTCTGAGGAAATTACAACTTCAATCATAATTACTGAAAACATGTTTACCTAAATTTAATTAAATAATTAAACTCATCTTCCATTTGTCAAACTGTAATAGACACTTATATGCTTTTGTGCGTACAGACATTGGTACGGAATCTTTGCGGTAAGTAGGGGGCAGAGTTTATCCTAATCCAAGCATTCATACCCAATCTAATATTTGCCATTGATATTTTATTGTTCAGAATTTAATTTGAACTGTTGAAACTTTTATATTTCAGAAGAACCCGTCACATAATAATAGATGTTAATGAAGGTTACACAGTTGGTTTAAGAAGAAAAATTGTATTTAATTTAATAATTTGGATTTAGATTAGAATTTTCTTAGCTGTGAAAAAAGGAGAAGATAAAAGTGTATACGAACCGACTTGGGAGTGCTTGTACAAAAAGACAGGGAAGAAGAATATTGTTGACTTATGTAGCATACTTTATGAGTAGGCTTACATGCCATGTACGTGTCATCATAGATGACACATTAGACATAGTGATTAAATAAAAGTGTTTCAAAAGACTATGATGCCCCTTCTTCATGTGTAATATAGCTAGCAAGTTGGCCAACACATGGATGGAACCACCACTACATCCCAACTCTCAAAGCTTTACACACTGCTTTTAACTCTCCTCTAGAAAAAGGTGGTTGTTTTTCTTTCTCCGAGGACTCCTAGCTTTTCCCCTTTTCCATTCTTCTTAAATCCATGGACACGGCTCAGTGGGCACAGGTATACAGATAACTTTTTCTGTTTTCTTTCCATATAATCATGAAAATCTCTGCTGGGGGTTGTGATTTTCAACCATAATTTTGATTTATTAAGTTTTGGGTTTCCAAAATTATCTTGATTATTGTTTGTTCTAAGGGAAAGTTTTACTTTATCTCCAACTTTTCTGATGTTCAGCTCAGCTCCCCACTAAATTCAGTTTTTGTTGCTATCTTTTTAAGATCCTTCCCTCATTTGTTTTTTTTCCTTGCTGTTGAAAGGACTGCACCTTTCTTTTTCCCATATTTTTCCCTTTCCACCATCTGCTGATAAAGGACCAAAGAAAAAGTTAATATATTTGTTTGTATTGCTGCTGTTGTAATCCCTCAAAGTGTAATAAAAACACCTGCTTTGTTTGTTTCCTTCCTAGCTCCTCATACCATCTTCCTCTCCTTAAATATTTTGAATTCAGTTATGGCCTTTTCCTGTCTTCTTTTTGTTTTTATTATTTTGAATTTTGGATATTTTTTCAGGGGATTGGAGTGGTTAAACCTATGGAAGGTTCAAAGCCTCCTCCTATGTTAGAGAGAAGGGCAAGGCCTCAGAAGGATCAAGCTTTGAACTGCCCAAGGTGCAATTCAACTAACACCAAATTCTGCTACTACAATAACTATAGCCTCTCTCAACCAAGGTACTTTTGCAAGACTTGTAGAAGGTATTGGACTGAGGGTGGCTCTTTGAGAAATGTTCCTGTGGGTGGTGGCTCAAGAAAGAACAAGAGATCAACTCCATCAGCATCGGCACCTGCACCTTCACAATTTCCATCATCAACAAAGAAGCTTCCTGATCTGACAACGCCAAATTTCCCTCAATCTGCTTCTCAGAACCCAAAGATCCACCAAGGCCAAGATCTTAACTTAGCATATCCACCAGCTGAGGACTACAACAGTGTATCTAAGTTTATTGAGGTTCCTTACACCACTGAATTAGACAAGGGTCTTCAAAACCCCACTTCCTCAACATGTTCTTCTCATTTGACCGCTATGGAGCTTCTCAAAACTGGGATTGCTTCATCAAGGAGTCTAAATTCTTTCATGCCCATGTCGTTGTCTGATTCCAATACAATGTATAATTCAACTGGGTTTCCTTTGCAAGACTTCAAGCCAGCTGGACTTAACTTCAATTTAGAGGGGTTTGAAAATGGTTATGGGGCTCTTCAGGGAATTCAAGAGGGTCCTACTGGTGCAAGGATCTTGTTCCCTGTGGAGGATTTGAAGCAGCAGGTTCCGAGCACAAATGAGTTTGATCAGCAAAATAGAAGTCAAGGGGATTCAACTGGGTATTGGAATGGCATGTTAGGTGGAGGATCATGGTAGATAATAGATATTAGAGAGGAAAAAATGAAAAGGGCAAACAAAGGGGTTGATGTTTTAGCCTTTTTTTATTTTCTTTTTCCTTAATGTGGGGAGTGTGGTTGTGTTTGGACTTTGGAGTGATCAGAACCACTAACAAAATAGGGTACATGCCTTCTATTTTGTTTCTTTAATCCATTTTCAATTTTTGGTCTTCTTTTCCTTTCCCTAGTCCCACTTTGATTTTTGGCTTTTGGTCCCGAAGAATGTGGCTGTATTTTGAAGCTACCTTTCATTTCATCAGGTTAAGCACAAGGAAGTTTCGAGTCCATAACCCATGTCATAATTAGACCGATTTTTCATTTTTGGCTTTCCCGTGCCAATAACAATGTTCTTGGGGGGGTTTTAGCAGGATATTCGCGCACGGTTTGCTGCCACCACAGCAAGGATACTATTGAATGCCAAGTACCAAGAGAGATTGGTCGGTACATAACCTTGAGATTTAATGGTTGTGCTAACTATAATTGATTTAGGTTAATAAAGCCACATTACAGGTTAGTGCACCAAATAACTAGTTTTTAGTCTCTCTTTTTGTAAAATTATAAACTGGGATTTTGGTTGATTATATATATAGAGTCCTGGGACATAAAGTGAGTTGGAATGATGGCTGTCAAATCCTTTAAAGCAAAAGTGGTCTCCCTATCTTTTTCCTTTCTCTTTTCCTTTCTTTTTGCTTGCCAACCGATCAGAAGTGTCAGATCTTAACAGTACCCTCTTCGTATTTCTGATTCTTCCATCCATTCAGTTTTCACGAAGCAACCAAATAGGATCTTAATAACATGACAGTAATAATATATTGACATGATCCATAAATTAAACCTGAGGTAACTAGTCCTTTGTGTAATAATAATAATAGATTATAAACTACGTATAAGGCATACGGCAAATTTCGCGCTGTCAGATTTATTTAAACGTGGGTTATTTTAATTTTATAAATATAATTTTAATGTCAAAATATGATTTATATTAATTTTGTTTAATTTCAAAATGTTTCTTTGTACGTTTGGATTTCTACACTTTATAGAAAGGAGTAAGAAAACCTTACTAGGTATAAATATATAGCTTCTTCTCATTAGTTATTTGAGCTAATTGCAATGTAGAAATTTCATGCAAAGTGGGTTCCTATGTCTTCCATGATCTTACTAACGGTTCCCTTCAGTTGAAGGCTCGTTTGGTCACTTTGGTCTAATTTATGAACATTATTATTTCATTTATATATGCCCACATGGGGTTTCTTTGCCCTTTCTTGTATTGAAAGCCAAAGAAGCTGGAGCTTGACTGTGGTCTCTAATTGCTTTTCCAGTGGAGGGTCCTACAAACATTCCTCTTGGTAACCGTGCAAGAATATTATCCTCCACTGCGAGTCCTCCTCCATATAGAGATAGACCTTATTCACTTTATCGAATAATAATATAATAATGTACACTTGGTAAATATTAATTGATGGTGCCTTAGCTCGGGTCTAACGTGTTAAGCATATATGAATATGAATATTATTAAATCAAGTTTTACAACTTCGCATTATGGTCATGGGGGAATCTCTTTCATGCCAAACTCAGCCATTTATGATCTCAACTCCACAAAACACCCACTAGCAATTGAACTCAACAGTTATTTTTTGGGTATAAAAATATCTGTAGGAATGTACTATATCATTCATTTTGATTTGCGGGGGTACTATATTTTGAGATCCTAGAAGAAAGAGTCTCCTATTTTTAGGGTTTGGTAAAAGCATGATTCAATGGTGTATTTATCTACCAAGGAAATTCTCATTCCTCATGACAAAATCATATGGAGAGAATTGATGTATGTAGGCATTGGATATCAAAACCTAGAGGACGATTCTTTCAACCTTTGGCTTCTCTCCAATCATGACCTTTTAACATTAGGGTTTCTACGTACTAGATAGGTCCTAACATTAAGGACAGAAAGGGTAATTATTCACGTAGCTGCGGGACCATATATGTGCAAGCAGGTGATCATTCATTTTTCTAACGGAATCATGTTAAGAAATGTACACCTTTGGGATCACCTCGAAGCAATTTGTTTGGCTACATATGGCAGTAATTTTAAGTCAAGACACAAGAAAGAATGGGCTAGCTAGCTGCTTTGTATAAATTTTATGTTGCAAATCGAATTAATTCCCTCCATCGAAAAATAAAATATAATTATTACATCCTTGTTTCCCAAATTAACTCTCTGAAAGATGCTTGTGAAGATATATTGTAATGTTGGGCCGATTCACGATGTTACTTCATATATATCAACAATGGTAGCTAGCTTCTTGTAGCCTTATAGATGCCTATAACCGTCGTGTTTATTACCCATGATGAGACTCGCCCTTAAGACCCATTTTCTGCTACTTTTATAGTAGGACTTCTCCTTTCACAGTTCGTATTCACATTGATATATTTTTTTCTAAAATTCAAAATACAAAAGATCATGTATGTCAAGTGTCATTTTTTTTATTGAACCAATTGTATGCTTGCGTTGGGAGTTTTTTTATCAACATTAAAGTTGAAAATATTGCTATGCATTCACCTTTTTTTTATGTATATAGATTTTGCATGGGTGCTTTAAGGATCTATTTGTTTTAAAGTTAGATAAAATTTACTTTAATAATATTAATTTTAAACAGTCGAGCATGACTCAAATGTGTGTCAAAATTAATTCCCACTGTGAATTTATAATTTATCTAATTTTTTTATAAGACACATTTAATTAAAAGATATTATAACATGACAAATTTACAGTCTAATCCGCCAAGGGACTACCTAAGATGTCCAGCTTCATCTTTAAACCTGATGAAGCAACAAGTTCATTTGAAACTTGAATGAATAGAATGGCACTTTTGAGAATATATAAAATTTCTTCAGCAGATGTTTGAATTTTGAAGGAGCATTGCCCCACTAGTGGTTTGAAATTTAGTTGCTAATTGTTTGCACTTCGAAGATCCGGGGATAGAATCTCAACTCTGCGCACAGTGTCTCCATTTTGGACTAATGTATGAAACCCAACATAAATTACTACGCATTGGGATTGGCTTTGCATTCCCATCTTTGACCTTTGATGAAGAAATCCTTCTTAAACTTGCCTTATACACTATTCCAACTCGTATCCCTATAATTGGATTTCCCCCCCTAATATATCACACTCAAGACTCTTTTAATTTGTCAATATGGTTCTTTCGTGTATCATAATTTCTCAATCCCTTCTTTGTGATTAATAAACTCATGCAACACTTTTAATTTGACCAGTTTGGCCAGTTATCGAACGTACGACATGTATATGAATTTAGTTTTAATTACCAAATTGTGCGGGCACGATTTTTCCTTCCTCAACAGTTACGGGTGACAACATAAGAACATAATCAACTCAGTCTTATAAAGCTCATTAAATAATCATAAAAGATAAAGTGGTTGGTGAATACTTACGTTAGTTTTGTTTATACAAACACATACAAGATTAATAGCAGTGGCTCTTTTAAATATGGGTCAAACCACCTACTTTATATGTAGAAAAGAAAGAAAAACTGCAAATATGATTGTGTCTGAATAAAGCTCCCTAAATTCATTTGGGTTTTGATCAATTTAGTTTATTTTTGGATATATTAGCCACTATATTTTCTTTCACTTATCACTTATAAAAAATAATCTTTCATAAAATTAGGGATCAATATTTAATCAATTGAAATGGGCAGTTGTTAGATTTTTTGAATGCTGCTTATACTAGTATTTTTTATTTTTAGTTATTAGTTGAAAGTGATGTCATTTTTATACTATTATTTTTAACTAATTAATTCTTTAATCATTTAATTATTTTAAATCCTACTTTCTTTACTTTTATTACATTAAAAAGGAAAAAACAAGTCACAAATAATAATAATAAAAATAAATATCACAATATTAATTATTTTACAAAATAAAAAATTATTAATGTCTCGAGAAAGAGTTAACAAAGATATTAAATATTTTTTTTATAATAAAATGTTTATAAAAGAGAGAATGAAATTAAAATTGATTATCTTGATTTGAAAATAATAAATAAATTTAAATATTTTAAAATATAATTACTAAATTCAATTGTTAATTTACTTAGTTGTGGTGATTTTATTCGTCATTTTATATTTATGAGTCAGCTTTTCAATTTTATTTTTCAAACACATTTTTCATAGTCCCACGACCAAAGGTTGCATACATATGAATTAAGAGACAAATGTACAGAGCAGTTGTGCACATACATTTTACCCTTTGGACTATTCAAATGGCCCCATCGCTAGTTTAGTAGCTTGCACGCTTAATTTTTTGTCATACCTTAGAAGTTAGAATGACATCATTGGCATTTAGCATAAAAGAGTTAGGCTATATGTATCATCAATTTTAATTTGGATCTGCAAACATTTTCCAGTTTTTTTTTTTCAAAAAAATATAATTCCAATTTGTGGTGGGGTCTATTGGCATTCTGAAAATGTTTAGTATCAATAATTCGTGATAATATATAGCTTATTTTCTTTTAGTGTTATTTTAATTCATTCATTATTTTTAAAAAAATACTGCAGGATATGTTAACACTTTAACCTATATTTTTGCTAAACAAATATAAAAAAAGAATTTTCAATATATTAAATAACATAAAATTTTTAAAAAAATATAATTGCACGAGTAGTCTTACTCTGTTTAATGAAATTTATTTAAAATTTCCTTACTTAATAATTAAAAATGTGAGAAGAATAATGTATTGTAGATTTTTTTTAGATCTATTCCTCTATTAATTTTATATCAAACATTAGCCATTGTCTTAGGTAAAGAAATAAATTAAATAAGAGAAAAAAAGAAAAAAGAAATAAATTAAAGTATGGCTAGGGGAACTAAAAGTGTTGAATTTAAAAATTGAGAAGTTAAAATCATTTAAAAATATACAGACTAAAATTATATTTAAATTAATATTTAATTATACACATATTAATTAATTAAATACAAGTATTGATTGGAATAGGTAAAACACTGAAAATATATTGTTAAAGAATGAAAAAAGGAGAAACACAGTGATCTAATTAATTTGAGAAAAAAAAAAAAAAGCCATGAGAGACGTGTTGGACAAAATATATACAGTGATAGGATATAAAGAAAGTAGTTTACCCTTATAGTATTGTTTCTCTAATTACACTTTCCATCTTCATATGCAAAATTAAGTAATATACCTTACTTCAACACAAGTTATTGTGTTTCTTTTTTCTATCCAATGAAAAGACAAAATAACCCTTTATTTTTAGAACTTGTATGACCTGATGGTGTTGAGTGGAGTGTGACAATTGGTTCTTAAGGTTCTGTCTTGACGTAGAACTTCTTTTAAATTACATGTAAAAATCTCAAATTACGAGATAATTAGACGGATGGTTCATCATTTTTTTTTATATTTTTTAAAACGGAGTTTTTAATGTTTAAATAAATAAGTTAGTAATAAATTTTAAGAAACAAACGATTAAAATCAATTAGAACATATACATGTACATATATATAGGGAGAGGGTCCTTTTATATAAGTGTAAGTCTAAAAATTCTTAAATTCAGTCTGAACATTTTATTTAATATAATTTTAACGCGTTATAATTTATTACTTTATTGGTCATTAGATTTAAGTTTATACGTATAAAGAGAGAGAGTAAAATTGACAATTTAGTTATTCCTTTAAATGGAGTCAAAATATTTTTCTTTTCTTACGGTAAAATGGAGTTCCAGGAATTATCCTATCTCTTCCAACGCCAACCAGAAAATATAAAATACTTTTTGTCTTTTAGTTTGATTACGTTGAAATTAACTATTAAATTAGTTTGAGAAAAGGAAATTATAAAAATTTTGTTAAATTAAAGTGTACTATGTATGAGGATAAAAAGTGCGATTAAAATAATGATTTAGAAGGTCAAATGTTTTTTAATATGAATAAAATTGATGTGATTTTTTTAAAATTTTAAAACATAAAATTTAATTTTATAATATAGGAGTGAATTTATAAAAATGCTTTACTGTCACCTAGGATTTATGGGATGTTAAGCATGAGTTTGTTGACACCTTTATTCTATCGTGTTGCTTTCTTTGGATGAGAGAAAAATGAAAATAGAGAGAAAAGAAACAGGAAAAAAATATTTTTGTTTGTTTAATTGGAGAAAAATAAAAGAAAAAGACCATTATATTATAAATATAACTTTGTTTTCCTTTTCGTCCTCACTTTTTCTCCTTTCATTAATTTTCTTCCAATTTTCTAAGCCGAATGGTCCTTAGGTAATTAAATTATTTGTATAACCAACTTATCTCTGTTAGAATATTTATTACAAAATTTCGATGAAGATTTTTGACACCTAATGGGATACTTTCTTTTTCCTATTCTTCACTGCTTTCCCATTCCAAGTCTTCTAATGAATACTTTATAAACACCATATAGTAATTAGTACATTCCTTAAGCCCCATCAGGTTCTAATGGGCCTGACCCTGATCAGGGTTCAGAAATTAGCCATGAATTATGATGAAAGGTTGCCAAAATTGGTATTATCAACCAAGAAAGCAAACACTCGTATTTGTGAAAAAAATGTGTACATTATTAATTTTAATTTTTTAGTCCTAGAAGATCAAAGAAAATAAGAGGTTGTCCTATTCTAAGGTCAGACATGCTACAAACCTAAGGCTTGGTAAAAGGAGAGGTAGCCCAATCCAAAGTTCGGACATGTATATGCCTAATGCTTAGCATGATAGTTACGTATAACCTAACAATAAACATTTATAGACTTCTACCAGTTAGTAGAGGCAACCTTCACTGTCATGGGTAATTACTTCAATAAAAAATGTTAACACACTCTTTAAAATTCTTTTCTTTAAGGCACACTTTTTAGCATACTTTTTACTACTAAATTGAATTTATAGAAACTTACTAACGATGTTAGTTTAAGAATATGTTAAAATTTCTCTTATCAATTAAGTTAATTATACGGGCGCGCGTGTATATATATATTGAAGATTTTGTAAAAGACATAAATAAGTTGACTATCATTAGATTTCTGCTTCCTATAGCAACTTTTCAAAATTAATATTTCAATCAATTGAACATTAACAAGACATTTCTTCGTGGAGACTTAACTAATCAAGTATGTATCAAAATTTCAAATGGTGTTGAGTGTGATAATCCTAATTTAGTCAATAAGTTTCATAAATCTTTACATGATCTCAAATAGGCTGGACGACAATAGTTTGTCAAATTGTCTACTTTTACAAAATTAGTTGGTTAATCTATTATTGGGTATTACATTTACTTAAGTGATTCAATTGTTTCATGGAAGTTCAAGAAATAAACTACCGTTTCTAGATCTTTTTCAGAGGTTGAATTTTGAGCCTTGGCTAGTATGGTTTGTGAGCTTCAGTAGCTTACTTGCTTGAAGATTTATAAGTTCCCTTTCTCCATCCTTCTTTACTTTATTGTGATAGTGAATATGCTACAAACATAACAACAAATGCTATCTTCCATAAAAAAACTAAATATATTGACATTGTCAAATATATTGACATTGTCACTTTATTCATGAGAAGCTTCAAGCAAAACTTTTCCATTTACTCCCTATTTCAAGTCAAAATCATCATGCAAATAGAGAGTAATCAATATATACTCCAACCTGTGAGGAGGGGGGATGGAATGTAAGCTGAGTCAGTTATGTTATTTATTTTAGTTAGTTATTAATGGAATTAAGCTCATTGTATGAGCTTATATAAATTAGGATGAATTTTGTAAAAGATAGATTATTCAATAAAACTAGAATAAGCAATTCTTTCTTATATGTGATTCTCATATTTCCTTTTTTTATTCACACTAGCATGGATCAGCTCAGACACTCCAGGCTTCGGCTACATAGTATTCTGTTATTCATGAGCAGCTTACGTTTATTCACAAATGGAAGCTGAACTAAAACTACATCATCCATAGAAGAAAGGGACCATCCAATAGCCAAATATTGACCACCTTGTGTTAATACCAATCATTACATTCAATCATAAAATTGGTTGCTACATACGTGTAGTCTACTAACATGTTTATATGTATTAATCTTATTTTATTGAAATAGCAATATATATACACACACATTGAAGTTTGGACCAGTGTTCTTCATAGATTTCAACCTTGATATTCTCATAGACCAGACAATGAATACACAATTTTATTAACAAGGAATAAACAGTTTATCTTACAATTTCACTACTGGCCACAACATGAGGAAATACATTGAAGCTGGGGAAACAATGACAGATGTCAAATGGGTGAAGGTAAGAACTTCCTGTACAAGATGAGCATCACAAACCATGAACGAACCGATGTGAAGACGGGAACAAATGGATTGGGGAGCAGAAAGAAATGCTACCAGTTCTCCTTAACAATTTTTGACTTTTCAAGTATGAACTTTCCTTCCTTGTACTTCTGCGATGCTTCATAAGCTTTTTCATACTTCCAACCCAGCACTTCACGACAATCACCACAATAAACATCAGCAACAGTGTGGAGGCCAGTCAAGAGATGCCTGTCTTCTTTTGGCCCCGTGATAACATTCATAGCATGAGAAAACAGAAAAGCTCGGCCGTTTCTTCCCTAGTTATAAAATTATGACAACAATATCAGAAAATGATCTGGAAAAGCGTTTTTAAGAGGAAAAATCATAAAACTATTGTGCAAGTTTAAATACCAAGAATAACAACCACATGCCTTTAGTCGGAGAATATGTGAAGTCCAAATGAGAAAACAAAGACCCTTGGAAATATTTCCGTCTAGAAAACATTTAATGACGAATGAACAAAATAAAACATGTTGGCAATCTAGGTGATAATTGACTGTTATGTCAGTAAAAGCAGTTTTTTAAATAAATAAAAAACGTAAGAGATTGAAATTCTAAACTGCCTACTTTTCTCAACAATATTCCATCTTTTTGACACTGCCATTAGCTTCCCACCATATTCAAATGCTGCTTTCAACCAAAAACATCCTCAATATGAGGAGAACCATACATGGAAATCACTGCAACGGCCACTACTAAATGCCAACAGATATATATAGTGACTATCACTTTGTGTACGCAAATAACTGATAAAAAAGATGTCTTCAGCTTTCACTTATTCACAACCTAAATTGCCACGACTGCCATCAGTCTCACTCTGGCACTTACACAAACTATCTGGTGTCTGTATAACTCACTGCTCGTTAGAAGTTGGGAGCTAGGTGTTTTATTTACTTCACTAACTACTAAGCATGTAATCATTACAATAAAGCTAGACGACCCATAATGCATTGGAAATTCATCAGTGTTAGTATATAGTTCAGAATACATTCTTTCATTTCCTGTTAACAAAGAAACAGAATAAGGAATTATCCAAATTTGAAGCTAAGATCGAAGTGAAAAAGCCACTTATTTCTTTTTCAGCTTTGAACAAATACTTGAATTCATTCTAGGCCATAATAGTATTAAGAGATATACAAGTTTGGTTTTAAAACTTGGCTCTAGTAAGTCTAGTCACATTGTTGATGAGCCACAGACTTCCTGTGCTTCACCTCATTTACAAAACACGAGATCAAATTTCTTCCTCTCCAGAAATCACCCTAAAATTTCTTTACTATCCCTCTCATAATAACAATGGCACCTACAAATCATCAAATTGAACCAGCTTACCATTTCAATAACTGAAGAGGGAAATTTTCAAGTGGCATGTACACTGATGCCAAACCATCATACAGCAAAGAAGCAAGCAGTAAAAATCAACATCATTTGCACATAAAAATGTAAGAATAAGAACCATTCCCATCAAAGGAGATGGAAATTTTTCAAGTGGCATGTATACTGATGCAAACCATCATACAGCAAAGAGGCAAGCAGTAAAATCAACTTAATTTGCATATAAAAATGTAAGAATAAGAACCATTCTCATAAAAAAGTGCGGTCTCCAAAATCACACAAAAAAAAGTAAAACAGAGAGAAGAAGAGAGAGATGCTTTACATGAAAAGCCTTGGATATTATATCATCATGGAGTGAGACATGGTTTCTACAATTACAGCAGCTGTACAAGCGAGGCCCTACCAGTTCCGCCATGAATTGGTTAAAATTTTTTTTCAGATTAAGCACTTCACTGCTCCAAATAAACCAAAAACCAGTTACTCAAAAGAGCAGAACAAGGGTCTTGACAAAATGAATCAGATGAAGAAAAGGGTATAGGAAAAGTGATGAAATTTCTTTACCTACAGCAATCTCAATGGTGACCCAAAAGTCTGCAACAAAAAGATAAGAAGAAAATAGGGGGTTAGCGTGCAAGAATAGGCTAGAATTAATTGATCACAAAGTTGAGTGAAGATTCCCAATTGGGGGCTTCATAACAAAATACTATACATTATATGGTAATCAGATAAAGACAGAGCCGCCACGTTTATGAGTAAAAATACGCCAACACTATGCACAGAATCATCACAAATATAATAATAATAATAATAACGAATAAAATAAATTTACTGCGACAGGCCTTCTACAAAAGAGGGAAAATGGAGGTCAATTAGGGTCTGAGCTGTGAAAAACCTAACTTTGATTGTAAGAAGGTAAAAAAAGGAAGAGTTTCTGCAATAATTGATTGAATGTTACTTGAGCAAATGATGTGCATAAGAAAGCATTAAATAGAGAATAGAATAAGAGAAGAAGCAAGTTGTGATGGATTTCTTCGATGACTCAGTCACCTTGAAGGAGTCCGACTCCGAGTGTGAGTTCGGTTTCCACGGTTAAAAATGGAACTCAAATAATATTATAATGGTAAACATTTTATTGAAGGGGTGATCAATCATTCAATTTAATATTTAATTTTGTCACGCCTTTTTACATATCCGTTTAACATTATTATTATATATTATTTTAAAATTTTAAAAAATTAATAAATAAATAAAATATAGACATTTTTCTTTTTACTTTTATTTGGGTGTCAGGTGGGGGTGAGTGGAGACATGAGATTCCACACGCGCGACACGAACCAGCAAGTAACCACGTGCGCGATTTGTATGGATTGGGCGATGTCTGGTTTACAAACCTAGCGGAAACCGAAAGTAACGGTGGAAAAGCGGCGAATCTCGGTGTTTCGAACATCGGTGATTCTCTAACACTTGACACAGTTTCTTATTATTTTGTCTAAACTAAAATACGAAAAACAATTATTATTTTAGATTAAATAGTTGCTTTGGGGCCAAATAAGGGAAAAATTATCGGAAAAACTAGGATATAAATTTGTTGTGGATAAAAAAAAGTCCAAGTTTGATTCACTTACTTGGTTCTTTCATTACACCTTTTTGGCTAAACGCGTCGTAAATTGGTCTGGTGGCAACACAGTTAGTACCGGATATAGAAAATTTTGGGACAAATTGAAAGTAACTTTTTGAAAGTAATTCTTCTTAGTGGCAGAAAATTTCACTCTCTATCAACTGTTCCTTTGTCACATGCTATTGCTTCAATTTAATGTGCATAAACAGCAACCACTGTCTGTTCTCTGTAATGGTCCATTCATCTGAAAAAGAAAAAGAAAAAACTTTGACACGAGACGATTAAAGAGTCCTCTTTTGAATAAGTAAATCAGGAGTGTTCCTTTTCATAAGAGAATCTGCTAATACGCTTTTCATAGGGTAAAGTACTTTCCTAATTCACTTTATTCTTTTAATCTTCAAGTGTTTATGAAAAAATAATAATGTTTATTATTATTTAGTATAAAAATCTCGGAGGATAAGAAAGGTAAAGATGAGATAACATTTGTATTAATAAATATACAAAATTACAGCTTGATATATTTATTTTGATTTTTTCTTTTAATAATTTTGTTTTTTTAGTTTCATTCAAATCAATAACGGTGCAAAGGATTAACTTGAAACAGAAAAGAGATAAAAATCCAAAATATAAAAAAGTGTTCAAATGTAATTTAAAATAATAAACAAAATATTAATGTTACTTAATGAAACATATTGTAATGGATATAACATTATTCGGTCCTACTTATAGAAAAAAGAAATTAAATACCCTTTCAGCCTAAATAGCTAAATACCCTCTCTATCAGATTAAAAAGTAAATAACTTAATTAAAGGTAATAATTAGACTATTATCTACTTTAATTAAATGATGAAAATCAGGACTGATTCGTAAAGTCCATTAGCTCATAATAATGCCTATAAAAAGAAGGTAGAAGGTATATGTAAGTGGTTGACTTCTGAATATAAAATAACATTTATTGTCTAAATCAAAACCTGACTTCATCATTGAAGTATCTTTTGTAAGTACACTCCCTGCATAAGATCAAATAGAGTCAGCAATAGAAAAAACGTCATCTCAAACTATAAGAGACAAGAAGACTTGTAATTCTCTAGCAAAAACACACACAATTCTAATCAAATAAAAATTTTAGTTAAACAATAACAAAATAAAAAAATATAAATAATTTCTAACTAAAAATAATATTAATAAAATTAAAAGCTTAAAATATTTAAAAAATATATTTATAAATTCATAAAATTATGCAATATTTTATAAATAACATATTTTAACCGATATAGAAGATTTGTGTTTTGTTTGGTTTTATAAATAAAATAAAAATGCGAGTAGAAAGAAAACCCTAAAAAAATAAGTAATTTTTTAAAACTTTTTGGTATAAAAGAAATATGAAAGAAAGTGAAAATAAAAAGTGATATTTTTTATATTAAGACATGTATGTCTCACATTCAAAAACATTTTTATACTAAGACAGGTATTTCTTACATAAAAAAATAATAATAATCTAAACGAAAAAATTAGAAATGTTTTTTAGAAACAGGGATTAAAAAAATACCAACATATTAACATATATATATAAAAAAAAAAAAACCCTTCCAAGCTAGTGGCAGTTGCATCTAAAATGTTTCCGTTCAACTGCTCCTTCCCCTGGGCAAGTAAGTCAAATCCCAAACCCTTCTAACACAACACCAAGAAGCAATGTCTGCAATGTAACGTGCATAAGAAGTAATAATTGTGAAGTATCCGTTTGTTTTTCTGATGTTCAAGAAAAATAAAGTTTACAAATAAAAACTTAGTGATTATTTTTACGTGAGTATGAACTTGTAGAAAACTTTGAATGACTAAGGGGTAACCAATCAAACCCTGAAGTGAAAAAACGGGTAGAAGTAAAAATTACGAGAACAGAATATTTAGACAATTGAAATTTGAATACATAAAATGTAGAAGGAATGATTCTTAATTATACTGGCCAAAATCAAATTTAGTAAAATATAGAAATATAGTGCGTGCAATAATTAATTTATTTTAAAGAAATGATCATTAACGTTGTTACGAGAGTTTTAAAAAATAATTATTATACAAGTAAAAAATAAATTAAAAAAAGTAAACAGAAATTACTTTAGACTCTAAATCATAAGGACAAAAATCTTAATATTTTATTAAAGAAAAAAGAATGAAAGTAAGAAAGGAGTATCCATAACTGCATTCGGTGTGTAGAAGGGGACAAAATTAAAAATCCAGAAACAGAAGTGGAAGTTGTGTTGTGTGGTGTTTCTGGGAATTAAGTGTCTTCTACAATAACCATAATCTCTTTCTCAAACTCTTCCATACTTTTCAATTTCAATTTCAACTTCAATTATCAAATTGTCTCCATGTCCGACGCTTATTGGAGATACCCCGAATCACGCCACGCCCCTTCTTCCGTCGCCGGCAAGCGCTCTCGTTCCGATTACGGTATGCCGTTTCCCCCCCCCTTCAATTTAGGGTTTCCTCGCCCGCTACCTCTTTTATTCATCACTTCTCCTTTTCATCTCCAAATTTTCCACTATAAGGGATTAATCGACCACTCGGGCTATATTCATTAGCTAATTGACCAAATCTTAATTCAAGCCATTTAGTTTTACACAAATTTTCTTTTATCTTTGGGGATTGAGGATTTCATTTCATAATTTTTTTCCTTTTTTTTTTGAATTCTGGTTGCAATGTATACATCATCCGAGAATTGAGTTTTCTCGCGTGACATGTCCAACACAAGGCTGGTTCTTGTGACTAATCACGAGTGTATGTGTTCCTTTTGTGTTGTTTGTTCGTTTTAATTTGGATATAGGTATTTGTAGGTCACGTGTCAATGTCATGATTATCTTCCTCATTATTATCTTGTTGGGTTGTGCATTGATGTAGCAGAGGATTGTGACAAGTAAATAAAGAGAATGCTAATTGTGTGTTACAAAGTTGGTTTGTAAGTTACACACTTTATGTAGCTTTATGCTCGATCTGTTTTATCAATTAAAATCTTACTGTAGAATGACATTATCTGGCAATTGAATAATTTGTAGTTTGACATCTTTATAAGATGTATTTTGAAGATCAATCCCGTTAACTTTACATGGTAGTCTGTAAGGGGACATCCCTAATTACTACTTAGTGAGTAGAGAGAATGAAAAGAATATTCAGTTCTGACGAATCTGACCAGTGTAAAACAGTGATGGATCTTGAACTACTCGATTTCTCTGTATTACACTTTACATAGTGCATGCTTCATAGCTATTAAATAAATAGGAACTGACTTGGGCAATCTTTGGGACTGTTTACCTTAAGAAATGTTTTCTTATCTTTTATTTCTGTTTTCATTTGCTTTTTTTTTTTTTTTTGTTGCATTTTGGGAAGTATGATAGGTTTGGAAAGTTGAAAACCGGTTGTGGTATCAAATTTTCAAGAAATGAAAATCTTGGAAGGTATTTGATCAATATATTTCGGTTGATTTTTGTATTGATGATCTGGTGCACAAACTGGTGTGAAGATTTCAAGTTCATTCATATGATACTTAATTTGAGGCAGACGAGGAGTTGGAAATTGAACAGTTTAGACTTTAGATCACTACTCACAAGCTAATTTTCAATTTTCTTATTGTCATGATGTGATTGAAAGTGACATAGGTCAAGTTTGAGTAAGCTTGGAGATAATTCCAAAATCAAATCAATATGAAAAATGAATAAAGCTTCTCTATAAGTCAAAAATAATTTATACTTTTCAAATTTTAGAGAAGTTAAATAAAAGAACTTTTTAAAAATATAGAAAACATAAGTTAATTTTAACTTATGAGATTCATTTTGTTACTTAATTTTGTACTCCTAAGAGTACTTATCAACAACTTTATCCAAACTGTGCCATCGTTGGTATCACTTTAACTATGTTGAAATCAAGCTTTGGCACCTATGTTAATGGTTAGCAAACAAACTTTTAGGATTTTTACATACTATTTATAATTAATTTTTCTTATTATTTATTTTCACCTATGATGACATTGTTATAAGGTGCCATCATGAACTTTCAACATATTTCATAATTAAACATCAACATAACATATTTCTTATGTGGCTGTGTCTAATTTCGGTGAATCTATATTATTGAGAGATATGTAAGAATTTCCAATAACCAAGACATACTGTTTCAAATTCCTATTGTCTTAATATTAGACTTATTACATCTTGATATTCTAATTTTCCTCAACCATGTGATTTAAATCTTTGTTTCATAATCATTACGCAAATGATTCTTTTCTACCTTGTTCTTTCTGTCTTTACATTCTCATTAATTTAAAATATTTAATTTTGAAGATGTCTCTGGCGTTCATGACTTGCCCAGTTACTTTCCCCAAGATGACGATAGAGCAGGGCTACGCGCAATTAGAGATACTGAATCCCTTGATGCATCCTATGAGCGTTACCTACGTAGTGCGGTATTAGCTATTTTTCTGTTCTTAAATGGATAGTTATTTTTTTCTTGTTCTTTTATGATCCTAATGGGCGTGTTAAATTTATAGGCAACCGGATCTATTTACTTGTGTTTGTTATGCATATAGATATGGATAGGATAGGAATTTTGGTCAAGTGGATTTTCAAGGCTTCAACTAATGGTTAAAAGATCCAAATAAATTCTGTTTCAGCTACAAATTTCTCATGGGGAGATTTGGAGGGGTAGGGGAAAAAAATAAAATGTCTTTTTCTTAGATAAATTCTTAAGACAAATAGTGTATTATTCTGCGCAATTATATGTAATGAACGCAAAATTGTAAACTCTATCTTGCTCTGACATCCTATCCAGCCATACTGAGCAGATGGTTGGATAACTTATATCGCTGGGTTCTACATCTTATTCAATCTCATTTTATGACAAAACACATTTTGTGAATCAATCAGGCCTTTTTGCTTAAGGGCTGGGCTAACTTATTGTACATTTTTCAGCAAGTTTCGTCTTATGGTGCGGGACAGTCTACTAGAACCATTGGTGGGCGAATTCCCAGTCATGCTATTGATGATTCACATGTCACAAGCATTGGGGGTATAGACAGGGGAACAAATCCAAAAGACAAAATCTTGGGATTAAGTAGTGGAAGGGCGGACCTTTCTCTTCCACCTGATGCTACCAGTACACTGTTTGTGGAGGGTTTACCTTCCAACTGTACAAGACGGGAAGTAGCTCGTATCCTTTCATGTGATTACCATTAGTTTAATGCTTTTCATTGTACATTCGTCCTCCTTAACTTCAAGACATAGATATTTTTCGTCCTTTGGTTGGATACAAAGAAGTCAGACTTGTCAGCAAGGAATCGAGACAAGTAAGTTTAAGTAAAAAGTAAAAACTTATAATATTTGCATGGATGGATTTTTTACTTGGATTTTGTGCAGCCTGGAGGTGATCCACTGGTACTTTGTTTTGTCGATTTTATGAGTCCAGCTCATGCAGCAAGTGCAATGGATGCATTACAGGGTAAGAACTCTTTGTCCTTTGGTCTTGTAATGACATCCTCATGCTGCTCATGCATGTCTTGGCCAATCCCGTATCTTCCATTTCTTTATTTCCTTCAGTGTGACAAATTTAAAAAAATTGCAGCAGAACAATTTTCTGGAACATTACGTACATTGTGTGGGAAAACCGATCTATATGTTTTGATTTCTTTGTTGTTCGTGTTCTTCTCACGTCAGTGTCTCAAGCGAGTGTGCTGCTTCTAGATAATATATGCAGGATTGGATTTGGGTAATAGATAAAACCACTTGCCTGATATAGGGTAGGGCAGGGTTTAGGATTTGACTACTGCCAGAAACATGCTCAGTGGACATGAATGAAGAAATTATTGCGAGGGCATTAAGTAAGCATCTGGATAAGAGTGGGGAGTACTACTTGGTGGCGTTTATGATAAATTAAAAACCAGCATTATATTTAACCTTACGCTAAAGATTTCTTATCTACCACATTTTTGGGGGATGGAGCTGGTTTGGCTCAGATGAAAATGGCAATCAACTTTAGAAGGGTGGCAGTATGCTTTACATTAAACTAAAATCATGACAATGAATTTTATCCACTCCTCGCTTTCTTTGTCGAGCTGAATGATGAACCTGACACCGATATCTTATCATTTCTGGTTGAAAGATTGTGGGGGCTAGATTATGAATACCATCCGTTTGACATTTCCATATTATGGGAGGCAGCTCCCTTCCTGGTTTTGAGTAATCTATCCGGGTCGCTCATTGGTTGCATTGAATGCTGATGGCTAAGGGCATGTTTAACGAAATCCGCTGTAGCAGTCTGTCATTTTCGTTTGTCCTTCCAACTATAAGCACAGTAAGGATTATTTCGTCAAAAACACGCTTTCATGTCACTGTTTATTGTTTGTTCCTGCTGCATAGATAATTAAGCTAGAATAGGATATATGTTTGAAATATTCTTTCACTGAAAACCCAATGGCGGAGAGTGTCCAACATTAGACATTTACTGAAGGTCACTCACCCTTCCTTCTTTTAAGTAGCAAGTTTGATCCCTTTGGTAATGAGTGAGGGACTCGCATTTTCACCTATGTTGGATAATTGGGTTTGAACGTTTTCACAGATGTATTTCAGGTTTATTATGTCTTAAGCTGAGGTAAGATATAGCACACGTCTCATATCATCTACCTATTGACACCTTAATCCGCCGTTCCGAACGTGGCCTGTTGTTCAGCGTAAAACAATAAACGTTAATTTTGCAGGTTACAAATTTGATGAGCTTGACCGCAACTCGGTCAATTTAAGGTTCCAATTTGCTCGCTATCCTGGTGCGAGGTCAGGTGGCGTGCATCGTGGCAAGCGTTGAATTATGCAATCTACAGGTGATTATTGCTATTATTACGATACGTTTACGCTATTATTAATGGTCGTTGGGTGCTGAATAAAAGCTTCAATATGAACGGTTAATCGTGCTGAATCATGATACGACAATTCTATGTAGGATTCACTCATTATTGGGGAGGTTATGGTTTTGAGAGTCAAGCGATCAGCCTTGCAGTTGAGAATTACAGTTGCTTTCTTTAGAACCAAATCAAACCTTGTGATATTCGTACCTGCGGAGTGCTCGCTAGAGATTCAGATCGTGCATTTGTTTGAGAAAATTTGTCTAATTTATTAAGTATAGATTGCTTCAAATTGTCGCTTGTTACAACTTATGTTTTTGAAGGTGTTTCACTGCTCTTGCCAATATATGTGGGAATAAGAAGCATGTTTTCCATGCATGCTTCTAGTGAGCCTTTCATATGTCAAATATTTTAGTTAATTTTATTAAATTACTCTCGTTCATGCTTTTCCCTAAAACCAACATATCTGCAATCTTCCGACATTACATATTTTTCAGCTTTATGTGATTTTTTTTTTCCTTTTTATAGTTTGTAGGTGTTTTCCCGTCATTCATGAAAGCGTTTCTCATATTATGATATAAGGATTTTGATTCGTAGATTTTTATGTTCCAAGTGGACATTTAGTGTTGGGTTTATACCCATGATTGTGCTCATATAGTTTGGATAAACTTCTCTATGTGTTTATACTAATAAAAAATTAAGAAATAAAATGAGTAAAACTATTTTTATAAGTTAAAAGTAATTAAATTTTTTCTGTTTTTTAGAATCTCTTTTATTTAATTTTTTTATAGCTTAGGAATATAAGTTGCTTTTAATTTATAAGAAAAGTTCTATTAATTTTTTAAGTTGATTTCCTTTCTCTATAAGACTATCCAAATTGGACTATGAGATATTAGAAAAGTCGATAAAGGTTAGTCTCTGTCTATAGTTATAATAACCTGCGAATTGTATCAGATTAGAAGTGATAATATGATCTGAACGATTGGTAAATACGTATATTTTATCCTGAGCGTCCAGTCCAACATAAGTTATGCTGCCAAATTTGAAGAGGATGATAAAATATTGAAGGATGCTGCCTATGCCATGTAGCGTGAAGACATTGTTCTTTGAATTTGATCGTTTTGGGATTTTAGCCATTGATTTGATGTCATTGGCGCCAATTTTCACTTGGAGAAAACTTTTAAAATGGGTATATGCAGATCTTTATCCTCCTAAAATTCTCACGGCAGAGAAATTGAGTGCTTGTAAGACAATGAATGATGAGTCTGTGGATGAGCTCCCCGTGGTGTGAGGAGACTGCGTTTGTTAAATCTGTTTCATTTCTCATTTTTCACTGGTACTTGCTATGAACTTTTGACATTATCAATGTATCTAAGCCACGAGTAATTATAATATTTTAGGCGGTGCATGTTTTTCTTTTTTAACTTTGATTGATATGCTTTAATTAATAATTATCAAAATCTTAACTTATTTGCATTTCATTTTTTTTTTAAAAGTTTCGTTTAAAGAATAAATAAGTCTTTTTATTTCATTTTTCTAATTTCTTAAAAAACAGAAAAAAGCGTGAAAATGTGATTATCTTTTTACAAGTATAAATAAAAATATATAGACTGAAAATAAAACCAAAAAAACAACAAATGTCTCCATGGTTTTCGTTGTCCTTGCCATGCCAAGACATCAAGCGAGGCGTAAAAAATGGTTAGTTTGCAACGGATATATAGTGCTATGTTTTCATGCTGCTCTGGAAGTCCCTGATAAGAGGTGGTATAGAATACATAATTTCTTCTGGTTACCAACGTCCTCTGAGAACAAGAATCAGTGCTTTTGCCGTCTGTGACATGGAATGCAATGCTGTTGGCAAGTGGGTGAATTGGCGATTCCCTTGGGGCTTGCTTATTTGTAAGTTCTGCCCGGAAATTGGTTCGGATCTCCTTTTCCACTGCAATTACGTACGTTAATTATCAAGAATATGCAGGATATTAGCTTGGAACGGTAAAATAAGAGTGAGAATATTACTTATCATGTAGTCTTTGATAATTATTATTTATCGTATGTTCATTTGGAGCAGTGGTAATTCGAAATATTACTTATCAACAATTACGTACATATGCTCTTTGATAATTATTACTTAGAACGGTAAAATCGTATGCTCATTTAGAACAGGTAATGTGGGCTTGGGGCTCCTTTCTTTTGAACTTTCCCAATCTTGTATGAGTTCATCTTGGGCTTCTGGTAATTGGAAATACATCAAGCCAGGTGTTAGTATGTTGGATTGGCTCAGCTGAGGTGTAACCTTCCGTCGGATTAACCTTTCATTGGTTCTTAATTTTTTGGAAATTTAAACATAACGTTGTGAAATTGGCGGGTTGGTATTTCATTATAACTCTGATATGACTTTAATCATTTATTCATCTTTTATTATTTATTGTATGAGAGACGTACCAGCTACATGAATAATATGCTTAGTGTTTGGGTTTAAAAATCAATCAAAATTATGTTAAATCATGATTTAATGTGAAAGTTATAACTTATCGTATTCAAATAGATCTACGTTTTAATAAATTTGATGCCGATTTAAACACACTAAATGTGTGTAAGATAACCATGGAAGAAAATAAATAATTAGAGAAGTATTGAAGGAGAGGTGATAGTTATGGATTTGAAGGTAATGTGGTTGTCGACGTCAACTTGGACCCTCTCTTTATATTATCCTGTGATTGTATTCTTAGTTTACGTTCCCATCATTTTCATGGCTTCGTGGTTATTGGGTTAGTCCATGCTTTGTTTGTTTTATTTTTATATCCTTTTCATTGGCTTCTGTCTTGCCTTCCAATGTTTTTATTCTTCTTTGACTCTTAATTTTGTGTAGTTGTGCAAACTCTATCCTCATTACTTGTACTAATCACTTTTTTAACAAATTTAAATCTTAGACATAATTGCAAGGTTAAGGAATTTTTTGCCACAAAAAATAACTTAGCATATTAACTTGATTTGAAAACAAAAATCAAATCAAAATTCGAATTATATATTAATAATGAAACTGGTAACTATTTTGTTTAATTTCTTTTATTTATAAATTTCACTTAGATTTAAAGGCTCATATTAATAAAACTAACTCAAATTTATTGTAGTCAAGAATTCCTGCGGTCAGAACAGTTGATGCTGTTTCATCAAGACTGAATGGCCAGAATTTAATTGCATGCGAGAAATTGAATTGGGTGATATCAAAATCACAGCCGTTCAATTTTGATCGAACCATGTACATTGAATGACTACACCAACTGCAAGGAATATCAATGGTAGCAAATCCATTGATGTTTAAAGGTTCCAGTATAATACACGAAAAAGTACTATTCTTTATTTTAATTTTTTTACCATCCCATTGTCAACTGGGTCATTACATGTTTTTAGTTTTTTTAATAAATTAATATATAATTTAAAATTTTCATTTTAAGGAAAATATTGAAGCCCTGTAATTCATTTTTAACATTTATGACACTTTGCAGGCACTTTTGTCATATATTTAGTCTTTTAGTAATATTAATCATTTTGGCTATAAAGTTTTAAATGCATTCAGTCATTTGTAACCTAGACGATGTTATAAATGTGACAATGACAGAAAATTTCTCATATTATTAAAAGTAGCACTTTTAGTACACGTTTCGTGGGAAAAGAGTAACTAAAAGGGTAAAAATTAGAATTGAAAAATATAGAAATTAATCATTGAACTAAAATAAAAATAAAAATAAAATGAAAGAAAATTCAAAGTTATTAATTTAATAGTAATTCCAAATTAATAAAAAAATTATACCCTTTTGCCATCATTTCTAAGTCTTTCTGGCCACTTAGAAAAAACACAAATACTCAATTTGATTGCTAAAAATTAATATACAGAAACATCAACATTTAAAAATGTAAAAGTTATATTTTAATTTTATAAAAATATAGATTATATTAATGTCTATTAAAGACTAGCGTGTGTAACTAAAAAATAACTCGTATTTATGACTTTTAAGAATTAATGTGTCGCGAGTTAAATTTAGAAAACACCTAAAAAATAAAACTTTACGAAAAAAATATATATTAGAAAACAGCTATTAAGCACTGTCTTTATGGTTGTATTAATTAAAGAATTAAAAATATTTTTTTTAAACAAAATGTATTACTGATGTTGTTTCTTATATTTTTAATAAATCCTTTTTATTTATTATTTTTTTAAAGTAATACGCTTAAAGTTTTGGAAAGCAAAACCTAATTTAATATAATAAATATATTTTTTTATTAATTTCTTGTATTTATGTAAAAAATGTTTTTTTTTATATTTAAAGTATGCTACCTTTTGGTAAAGGATTTTATTTTAGATTTTTTTTCCATTTGTGGACAAAAAAAAAGATAAAAGAGAAAAAAATAATGGCAATTTTATTGACTTCAGTCTTTAAAATTAATTTTAAATATCTAAAATATATTTTTTATTAAAAAATAATTTTTTATTACATTCTTATATTATTATATAATAAATAATTTTTAATAAAAAAATCACTTTCTATTACTTAAAATTAAACTTAAAAATTAATATTAACAATTTTTTACCTAGTGCTAATTTTAAAATGTTAAAAAACTTGAACTGAAAATAGTATGGATGTGATACAGAAAACTTTTAGTGGCTGAAGTAATACGTTTCCTCCCAAAGAATAGAAACGCATAACACTGTCTTTTGGTGTGTAATTTCTCAGTCTTCTAAATGTATATAGACACTCATGATCTTGATATCAGCCCTTAAGTACACACATGGTCATGATGTTCTTTTGTTCATTAGTTCATAATCACATGCATGAAATTTGACATTCACATCTTTGTGTTTCAGTTTGTAAGAAAAGGATACTACTTTTGCCATGTCTTCCACTTTTGAAGTAGAGCGAAGCAATAGTGTTTCAGCCTCAGAAGATGAATATGAAAATGAGGAGTGCCCAGTGAAACAAGTTGAACTCACTGTGCCCAAAACTGATGACCCAACAATGCCTATTCTGACATTCAGAATGTGGATTTTGGGCATTGTTTCGTGTGTGGTGTTGTCCTTTGTCAATCAATTCTTTTGGTACAGAACACAACCTTTGAGTGTCACCTCAATTTCTGCTCAGATTGCTGTTGTTCCAATTGGCCACTTCATGGCAAGGACCTTGCCAACTCGTGTCTTCTTCAAAGATACATGCTTTGAATTCTCACTCAATAGGGGGCCATTCAGTATCAAAGAGCATGTTCTTATAACTATCTTTGCTAATTCTGGTGCTGGAACTGTTTATGCTACTCATATTTTGAGTGCAGTGAAGCTCATGTATAAAAGAAAATTGGGTTTTCTTCCTGCATTATTACTCATGTTAACTACTCAGGTTTTATTCTACCCACAACCCTATATCTTCTTTTCATTTATGGCTAATAATAGACTTGTGATTCAATAACTTTGATATTTATGAATTGATGTAAACATACTCAGAATCAGGACATGAGTCTCATGAAGGAAGTATAACCAATCTTGTGGAAATTATGATAACAAAAACACATATATTCTGTGCTTCAAGGCACAAGGTCTATGCTTTAACTTTTAAGGAATTTTATTACCTTATAACTTTCGTAGTTTATTTTTGGTTGGAGGGAGGTGGACACCGAAAAAGAGGCAGAATATACTGTGAAGTTTGGATCCTCACACCCTCCTTGCATGTGTGAGAGTTCTACTAGCTGAATTTTGTCCGGGGCATTTTTGCAATGCAGAAAATTGGATGAAATAAACCCTCTTCCTGGAAGGTGTAACTAAAAAATCAAAAGCCTTAATCAGAAATCATTTACATCTTAACAAATCAAGTTTGAAAGATGTAGGTTGGTTTTACAGGGTCATATTGATTTTTTATAACTATGATAAAAAAAACCATTAATCTAGATTATATGATTCTGATACTTTTATTAGAATAAATAGTTGAACTTTTAATCAATACTCAGTTCTGTTCCAATAGATCTACTGTTTCATCTTTGACCAGGTTTTATTTAGTCAGGGATACTCATATTCTTAGTCCTAGGTTGAGAAAATGATTGTCGTAGTCAGCTAAAGTTGCTTTTTTTACATGATATTAATTGCTGTAGTTAACTCGTAATATTGTCTTGAGTTATGCCGCTTCCTTATTCAATTTTAGGTGCTGGGGTTTGGTTGGGCAGGACTGTTCAGGAAATTTCTGGTTGAGCCAGGGGAAATGTGGTGGCCTTCTAATCTGGTTCAGGTTTCATTATTCAGGTAAATTCTATTTAGTTAATGTGTTAATCAATGGCTTTTTCAAGAATGCAACAATATTGAGTCAGTATATTTTTAATGCAGTGCTTTACATGAGAAAGGTAAAAGACCAAAAGGAGGCACAACACGCACTCAATTTTTTATCCTTGTCTTGATCTCTGGCATGGCTTACTATGTTTTTCCCGGCTATTTGTTTTCAATGTTGACATCTTTCTCTTGGTTATGTTGGCTTGCCCCCAAGTCTATCCTAGTCCAACAACTTGGTTCTGGCTTGAAGGGTCTTGGCATTGCTGCATTTGGTTTTGATTGGTCTACAATTTCTTCATACCTTGGTAGTCCACTAGCCAGTCCATGGTTTGCTACTGCTAATGTTGCCGTTGGATTCTTTCTTGTTATGTATGTGATGACACCAACTGCTTACTGGTTAAATGTGTATGATGCCAAGACTTTTCCAATATTTTCAAGTAAGCTGTTTATGGGAAATGGTTCACTGTATGACATTTCAACCATTGTTGACTCTAATTTCCATCTTGATCGGAATGCTTATTCGAAGAATGGGCCTGTACATCTTAGCACATTCTTTGCAATGACTTACGGCCTCGGATTTGCAGCACTTTCTGCTACAGTGGTGCATGTTATCCTCTTCCATGGAAGGTAGCCACTTCATGGATCATCTGATTTATATCATCAATATGACATGTTTTAAGATTTTAGTATTATGCTCCCCCTCCCCTTCTATAAATTTTATCTATGTAGCTCTTGAATATACAACATTCTGAACATTTTATATCAAACGCCTTCAACTTCAAGATCTTTTTTTGTCCAGAAACATGTTATATGTTCCCTTTCGAAGCTAAACTTTTTATGCTCTAAACTGAATTTGCATGCGTGAAGATATCATTTATTGGCATACTTTAATATGAAAATATTTGAAGTATTATTTCATATGAAAGTCTTCCCAGTCCCCCCCAACCTCATTCCAAATTTTATTTTTGAAAATATGTTGTGTTTTTCAAAACATATTTTCATTTACTCTCACCATGTGCCCTATGCAGGGAAATATGGATGCAAAGCAAAATGGCCTTTGGAGACAGTAAAAAAATTGACGTACACACAAGACTTATGAGGAGGTACAAATCAGTCCCCATGTGGTGGTTTCTCATCATTCTACTGGTGAACATAGCTGTTATTATGTTTATTTGTGAGTACTACAACGAATCACTTCAGTTGCCTTGGTGGGGTGTATTGCTAGCCTGTACAATTTCCATTTCCTTCACTCTTCCAATCGGTATAATAGCAGCCACTACAAATCAGGTATCTTAACAATTCACTTACATAGCTTGCTAATTTTACGTTGGTACTAAGGAGAATTCACTAAGATCACATCTCTTTCTTTGTAACAGCCACCTGGTTTAAACATTATAACAGAATACATAATTGGTTACATGTATCCAGAACGCCCTGTGGCTAACATGTGCTTTAAGGTATATGGGTACATTAGCATGACTCAAGCACTAACCTTTTTGCAAGACTTTAAACTTGGACACTATATGAAAATTCCACCAAGAACAATGTTCATGGCACAGGTCAGTTATGATTCCTTTATCATTTTAAATTTGAACTACAAGATTAGAGCGAGCACATATTAGGAGTTATTTATGATAAAACAAAATGTGGCTGCATTGTATGTAGGTGGTAGGAACAGTCATATCAGTGCTTATATACACAATAACTGCATGGTGGTTGATGGGGACTATCCCTCACCTTTGTGACACTACCAAACTTGCACCTGATAGCCCTTGGACTTGCCCAATGGACAATGTGTTCTATGATGCATCTGTTATATGGGGTCTTCTTGGACCACGCAGAATCTTTGGAGACCTTGGTGAATATGCCAATGTGAATTGGTTCTTCCTTGGTGGAGCCGTTGCACCCCTTCTGGTTTGGCTTGCTCACAAGGCATTCCCAGGCCAAAAATGGATAGCTCTAATTCACATGCCTATCTTGTTAGGTGCAACATCAATGATGCCTCCTGCAACAGCAATTAACTTCACCAGTTGGATAATTGTTGGGTTTCTCTCAGGGTACATTGCATACAGATATAGACAAGATTGGTGGAAACGCTACAATTATGTATTGTCTGGTGGTCTTGATGCTGGAACTGCCTTCATGACAATCTTACTCTTTCTTACTTTGGGTAATAAAAACATTGCACTTAATTGGTGGGGAAATAATCCTGAAGGGTGCCCCTTGGCCTCTTGTCCTACCGCAAAGGGCATTATGGCTGAAGGTTGCCCTTTTCAATGATCATTGCAAAATTTCCTTTTTTAGATGAAGGGTGCCCCTTGGCCTCTAGCACTCATCACTTGGATGCCATTAGCTTAATATTTCAATTTAAGTTGAACATTTGGTCTGTATTTTTGAACGTTTAACAGTATAAGCATAAAAGTAGCTTTTGAACCATGTCATTGTTGATGGTCATGTCTTTTTAACATACAACCAAACTTGGACCACCATGTTTTGGAGAAAGATGAACACAATGGATTGAGAAAAAGCATAGGTCAATTGTATATGAATCATTGTAATCGTATCAATCAGAACTTTGGCTCTCCTATTAGTCTTTGGTATACTATTGTATAATTAATCATCGATTCGTAGAAAAGGCATCGTTTGCCTACAATAATTGGCAAGTGTTTTCCATCGCGGAGCGTTATCACCACTAAACCTTTCAATTTACTTATTGTCGGGACATGATGAGATTGAAAGTGATGATTGATGATGCTCAGTATCACCTTTAGCTTTGAAGGATATGTAAATATCTTGTTCAGAATACCCATCTACCAATTGTACATTTTAATTAAAGAAAATATTAATATTATTCCTTTAGACTGGTTTTAAATATTTAAGAGTATTAGAGTTTCATTAAAAAATAAATATTTTAAAATACAAAATTATAAATAATATACTTTTTAATAAAAATTTATTACTTATTTATACTTAAAATAAACCTTTAGACTGATATTAATAAAATCATTTTTTTATTTTCATCTATTATTTATCATTTTGGACATGCGTTCCAAAGCCTCTTTTATTGGTGTTGATCAAAATTCAGTTGCATAGTGTGCGTTTGGATAAATTTTAGGATTTCAAAATAAGTTTTGTTGCAGCAAGATTGATTTAAGAAGTAAAAGTTGTTAACTCAGTGCTTTGGGTAGAATTTTCTTTTAGGTTTGAGACTCATAAAATATATTTTATTTGTATTAAAAATGATTCTACTGTACCAATATAATAAAATTAATAATCCTTGGGTTTCTTTAAAGAATAATGTTAAAAATTTGTAAGTCTTGAATTTTTAAATTATTTTTAATTGGATTGTAGTCACATTTTTATTAGAATTTGGTTAAATGTAGAGACTCAATTAAAAATTTTAAATAATTTAAAAATTAACTCACGAGTTTAATTAAAAAATTCTAAAGTATAAAGATTTATTTATAACTTTCTGAAGAATTCAAAAACCTGCGAGTAATTTAACAAAAAAACCCAAATACAAAATAATTTTTAAAAATTAATTATTTTAATGTCAATTCTATCAAAATCTGAAACAAATATTTTCTCGTAATGTCACTACGATTCACTCAACATATTTTATAATTGAACTTCTCAACAACATGAATGTTGATTCTCTACAATTCGTAAAATGAGTTAATTTTCTACAAAATTTTGATAAAAAATATTTTATACACATAAATAATGTATAAATTTTAATACTTATCAAGAGTGCTTATAAACAATTGGGAATGGACTATTCATTAGAAGAAAGAAAGAAAGAAATAAACGAATTTGAGGGAAAAGAAAATTTTAAAAATCAGTAATTAGGTAGAAACAGCATGAATATTTCAAACTAAAATTTTCTACACTTTCAGCCTTTCGCAGATTCAAAAGGTCTTTCGCTGATTCATTTCTTCCAAAAATATAGTAATTTTCTTCGTATTGTCTTTTGGTGTGTAGCGAAATCTTCATAGTCTTTCATGCACGTATAATAGACCAAATATATATCTGAAATTATATGTATAAGTCAATTTAATTCTTGAAATTACAAAACCGTTATTTTAATATTTAAAATGATTAAATAAAAGTTGTTTTAATAATTATTTCTATAATTTTAAATCTTAAAATAACTATCATAAAAATATTGGCCTCTAACCCTGCTTTTCTCCGCGTATGACCATGTTGTTTTGTTTCATTAGATCATAATTACATGCATTATATTTGACGTTCACATTCTTTTTACGTTACTTTTGTACAAAAAATATATATTTTTACTATGGCTTCAATTTTTGAGGTTGAGGGAAGCAAGAGAGCGTCAGAGAATGAGAATGAGAACGAGAATGAAGAGTCCATAGTGAAACAAGTGGAACTCACAGTGCCTAAAACCGATGATCCCACAATGCCTATTTTGACATTCAGAATGTGGGTTTTGGGCATTGTTTCATATATGTTACTGTCCTTTGTTAATCAGTTCTTCTGGTACAGACCACAACCTTTGAATGTCACCTCAATTTCTGCTCAGATTGCTGTTGTTCCCATTGGCCACTTCATGGCAAGGACCTTGCCAACTCGTGTCTTCTTCAAAGATACACACTTTGAATTCTCACTCAATAGGGGGCCATTCAATATCAAAGAGCATGTTCTTATAACCATCTGTGCCAATGCTGGTGCTGGAACAGTCCGTGCTTCTCATATTTTGAGTGCAGTGAAGCTCATGTATAAAAGAAATTTTAGTTTTGTTCCAGCCTTACTTCTTATGCTCACTACACAGGTTCTCTATAAGGATTTCTTTTTCATTTTTAGTTTAGCTGAAAAGCTAGTAGACTTGTGCTTCATGTTAAATCATACAAGAAGTATCATATTCTATGTGTCAAAACTTAGGTGCATTTCCTTAAGTAATATTAGTTTTATTTATTAATCAAAATTTAATTTTTACATAAGTAATTTGCGATAGTATTAAATACAAATATTTTACTAAAATGAATTTATAATTTTAATTTAATTATTAAATAACACTAACAACACCTAAATATTATTACATATATATGTTTTGTCTTATAGAATATTGGCCTAAGTTATTCTCCTTTATTCAATTTTAGGTGATGGGGTTTGGTTGGGCAGGATTATTTCGGAAATTTCTGGTTGAGCCAGGGAAAATGTGGTGGCCTTCTAATCTGGTCCAGGTTACACTATTCAGGTAAGTTCTATTAAATTAATGTGTTACTCCCTCAGTAGCTTTTTCAAGAATGCATGTATGCTAAGCCAATGTGTTGATGCAGTGCTTTACATGAGAAAAACAAAAGACCAAAAGGAGCACAACAAGTACTCAATTTTTTATCCTTGTCTTGATCTCTGGCATGGCTTACTATGTTTTTCCTGGCTATTTGTTTTCAATGTTGACATCTTTCTCTTGGCTATGTTGGCTTGCCCCCAAGTCTATCCTAGTCCAACAACTTGGTTCTGGCTTAAAGGGTCTTGGCATTGCTGCATTTGGATTTGATTGGTCTACAATATCTTCATTCCTTGGTAGTCCACTAGCCAGTCCATGGTTTGCTACTGCTAACGTTGCCGTTGGATTCTTTCTTGTTATGTATGTGAAGACACCAATTCTTTATTGGTTAAATGTCTATGATGCCAAGAATTTTCCAATATATTCAACTCGGCTTTTTATGGGAAACGGTTCACTGTATGACATTTCAACCATTGTGGATTCTAATTTCCATCTTGATCGCAATGCTTATTCGAAGAATGGACCTGTACATCTTAGCACATTCTTTACAATGGCATATGGCCTTGGATTCGCGGCACTTTCTGCTACAGTTGTGCATGTTGTGCTTTTTCATGGAAGGTAGCTAGCCACTGCATGAATCATCTTAATATTTATCATTAATATGCCATATTCTAGGATTTTTGAATTTTATTCCCCCTTTTTTATGTGGCTCTTGGATAGACATTATTCTAAAATTATATGTGCAATACTCTTTGTATCTGAAGTATGTTCATCTCTAAACAGGATTTCTCTACACATTCATGTAATCAGTTACTATAATGAATTACGCTTGTAGCGAAGATTGCATTAAATTGGCATTATTTCACATCATATGTATGTCTTTAATCTAATTGGTCCAACCAAATAAGTGACTTTGTTTTATTATTTAATATAGAAACCGCAGTCTGCACCTCGCTACCATATTCCAAATATAAATTTTTTGAAAAATATATTATGTTAATTTCATTTACACTTATTATATGTACTATTATGCAGGGAAATATGGATGCGAAGTAAAGGGACATTTGGAGACAATAAAAAAAAAGACATACACACAAGACTCATGAGGAAGGACAACCCAGTTCCCATGTGGTGGTTCCATGTACTTCTAGTGGTGAACATAGCTCTTGCTGTTTTTGCTTGTGAGTACTACAAGGAATCACTTCAATTACCATGGTGGGGTGTATTGCTAGCCTGTGCAATTTCCTTTTTCTTCACTCTTCCAATCGGTATAATAGCAGCCACCACAAATAGGGTAGCTTAACAATTTATTAACAGAGCTTGCTAATTTTATATTAGTTCTAAGTAGAATTCTCTAAGTGCTTCTCTCTTTTTTCTTAACAGCCATCAGGTTTAAACATTATAACAGAATACATAATTGGTTCATGTATCCAGAACGCCCTGTGGCTAACATGTGCTTTAAGGTATATGGGGCAGTGAGCATGATTCAAGCGTTGTCCTTTTTGGAAGACTTCAAACTGGGTCACTATATGAAGATTCCACCAAAAATAATGTTCATGGCACAGGTCAGTTATGACTTATGATCCCTCTATCATCTCGAATTTGAAGTACTACATATAAAATTAACATAAAATATTGGCTTGACTATGTTTTATGTAGGTGGTAGGAACAATAATATGTATTGTAGTACACAAAATAACTGCATGGTGGTTGATAGGGACAATTCCTGACCTTTGTGATATTTCCAAACTGCCACCTAATAGCCATTGGACTTGCCCAATGGACAATGTCTTCTATGGTGCATCTGTTATATGGGGTCTTCTTGGACCACGCAGAATCTTTGGAAACCTTGGTGAATATGGCAATGTGAATTGGATGTTCCTTGGTGGAGCAATTGCACCATTTCTAGTTTGGCTTTGTCACAAAGCATTCCCAAGCCAACCATGGATACGTCTAATTCACATGCCTATTTTATTGGATGCTGCTGCAATGATGCCACCAGTAACAGCAGTGAACTACAACAGTTGAATAATTGTTGGGTTTCTCTCAGGGTTTGTTGTATACAGATATAGACAAGAATGGTGGAAACGCTACAATTATGTGTTGTCTGGTGGTATTGATGCTGGGACTGCATTCATGACTATCTTGCTGTTTCTTACTTTGGGTTCCCACAACATTAGTCTTAATTGGTGGGAAAATAACCTTGAAGGCTGTCCCTTGGCTTCTTGCCCTACTGCTAAGGGTATTGTAGTTAAAGGTTGCCCAGTTCAATAATTTCCTCAAAATGAATGCATGTTATGTTATGTTATGTCCCTTGGCTTCTTTTTTTAGC